AAAGTGTTTTAAGAAAAAGGCGCCTTAAAAAATTGAGGTGTGTATATTTACTTTAAGCGTAGTATTCTCGTACTGTTGTCTAGAGAGTGAGAGGAAGAAAGAGAGAAAGAGAGAGAGAGAGAGAGAGAGAGAGAGAAAAAGAGAAAAAGAGAGAAAGGACACCGAGTGAAGTTAGCCAAGTAAGCGGACGCCCAACAAAAGGGGAAACCAAAAAATGTAGTATATAATAAAAATAAAGTGATAAGTAGGTAATTTTAACTTAAGCTAAACTAGCGAAATGTTATGGGGGCATAAGAGTGTTAGCGAATATATGAACAGAAATAAGGGGCTAAGGGTGTAAAAATATTACCGAAAAGAAATGAAAAGAAATGAAAAGATAAGAAAAGAAAGGAAAAGAATAGAATACAAAGGAAATAAGATTATTAACGAGAATGTTTGTTCGAAAGGATAGAACAAAAGGATTAAAAAAAAAAAAACAAAAAGTGTTTAGGAGAGAATTTGCGAAATCCACTTATGGTACCTAAGACTTAAGGACGGCGAAGCGTCCAGTTACAACGCGATTAACACAAATAGCCATTACACGTTTGAAAGAACGTACACACCGTAATCTTTACTAAAATACATACATATATATATATACATAATTAACACGCGCATGTAAATACACACGTTCGAAGGAGACACCCGTACGCGCACCACTCCGTTATACATATATATATATAAATACAGACATAATTACTCATATACAAATACACATAATTTACATATAAAACAGCGAAAAAAAAAACCACCTGTACATCGTAGCCATACGCGTAGAAAAAATAGCGGCGAAAGAAACTTAAAAACGAAAAACGCTCTAGACGTAGTGTCTAGCCTAGTCTAGCTTGTCGGTCACTTAAGTTTTCGAGTAAGAAGAAGAAGAAGAAGAAGAAAAAAAAAAAAAGTCGTCAGGTGAAAAAAAAAAAAAATAAAAAAAATAGCGCAGTAAGAAGAAGTTATATCCTCAGAAAACATACCAAAGCACCGTTGTAACACGGCGTTACTACCTACTACACGCACACGCGCACACGCGCACAATATTACACGCGCCGCGGCTGCTGCCACCCTTCATCCCTCTAATCGTTCGCTGAATTCTCCAACCCGCAATTCGGAGATTCTACGAGAGCCCTTACAACGTGTCCGATACAAACGCAATTCTTGTCGTTCCTACGACGACAATTTTTACTATCGCCGTCGTTTAAGCTTTTCAACAAGCTCCCGCTTGAACCTTCTGGCCTTTATTAAATCATGACATTCGCGAGTTACGATCAAATCCAATTTCTTTTTTTTCTCTCTCTCTCTCTCTCTCTCTCTCCTCTTTTATTTTCTAATTAACAATTTTATCTCTCTCTCTCTCTCTCTCACACTCGATCAATTTTTTATGTTCCTTTCTTTGTATCTTTCTTCGCTCCATCATTTTTTTAATTCCCTTTTCCTCTTCCTACTCTTCTAAATCCCCAAATCACTTCGCAATGGTAAAACGCAATTCGAAATCCGCTGGCACACGATTCTACGCGTCGCAGATTTTCTTCTAACGGAA